TGATTTATACAAATGGATAGATAGAAATTTGGCCATTCTAGAAGGTAGGTTGTTTTTTGAGTTTATATTTGTTAGGTACTTTCATTTTAAAAAAAAATTAAAATAGGGCATAACTGTTTCTTTAGAGTTAAAAGATTAACATTAATAAATATTAATGTGGCTATTAAACAAATGCAAATACTTCATAAAATATATGGAACCACGTATAACACTTTAAATAAAACTTCTGTGTTTATGTATATTCAGGCTGATTAAATTTTAGATTTCATCTGTGTGCTTAAGAAATATGAATGACAAAGAACCATTATATTCAGAATTCTAATTCTCACACAGTTGTACTGTCTGATCTAAACCTACTTCTGTTTCACAATTTACCTATTTACCTATTAATAAGCCACCCTTTTCAATTTTGTTGAATCAAATGAGATGAACATTTTGTCTGCCCCATCAAAGCTAAAATTTAGATTTTTAAAATCCATCGATAATGTTGGAATGATTTCATTTTAATGGCAAGCCTATTTCTGTGATAACTGTGAAGGCAGAGTTTGATAGCAATCTGAGTTTTGGTTCAGTATAATTAACAGCTACAAGCACAGCAGCACTGGGAATGTTTCAAGTATGCTATAATAAGTCGATCACAATGGTAACATTTCCATCTGCAGGGGGCCAAAAGGGACTCTGGAACTTTAAGGTATTAGGGATAATTGGAGAGGGGATATTCCCATCCCCCTTTTGAGTAAAAATCAGAGGAGGCTGGTTGAAGCAGGGAAGAATGGTTGGGACTCTTAAGTGGCTGGGAGAGAGTTGAATGAGCGTGGTTATTTATGCTAGCGTGTTATGTTTATAGTTACAGTGGGGAGGTGGACATTAAGCATCCTAACGGCCACTGGGATCCAATTGAGCTGAAGTTCCCTGGGACACTTGACTTTCCCTGCCTAGTACAGATGTAATTGGGTTTTATGGGAGGTCCTCAGCCTTGGGAATTCAAATTCAATTCCTCTTGGAGAAAATGGGCAGATCACATCTTTATGGTGATGAGGGGCATGGAGAGATACAGTAGGAAATGAGAAAAAAGCTGCTGCCAGGAAACACAAAACCAATGCTTTTTTTTTTTTAACTGATTTTGTATTCCAGCTTCTTGGTTATCAGCCCCTGTCCTTGAATAGCAGGACCTGGCTTTTGGCTTCTGGTTATAAATGCCAGGACAGACTGATTTACAATTTTATTATGAACGAGAAGGACAACTTGGAATCACTGAAACATGGCTGGGCATGAAAGGGGGCATGGCACTTTTGGAGATGTGTACAGTTGGCAGTGGTTGGTGCCAGTTATGAAACCAGGGCAGGGATATTGGTGGTGATTATTATCGAAGAATTGCTTTCGGCTTTCAGGGCACGTCATACCACACATCAACAGATGTGAGAACCCTGTTCATTAAATTAGGCTCTAGGATCAGTTGTGATTTTGGCTGCTGTACTTGCCATGCTGCTATATTCTGAGGCAATTTCTCTGCCTCGGCTCCTGGACTCCATATCCCGACTTGCAATGATGATCCCCATACCTATTGTCTTGGAGGAATTCAATTTGCCTTCTTTGGGATTGGAATCTGAGGGGCTTAAGAGTCCATGGCCACCATGATGGACTATCCCCAGTCACATCCCAGATAATTACATACCAAATCTGATATCCCAGTCAAAGCAGTGGCTATATGATCTGAAATTGGGGGATTCTTTGTTTTTAACCTTGCCGTTATAAACTTTTACCTTGTCAATGAACAGATAATGCCCTGATTATGATGGGATTCTCTGACACCACTATCCATTGCAGGGAGGCTGAAGCTGTTAGATCAATCCAGCCTCAATGACTGATGGACCCAGATGGATTTCAGAGGGTTATTTGTGGTTGTTCCTGCTGGTCTGCTACATAGTCCATCCAAGGGCTTGGTTGACACTTGGAATAGGAGGCTAGTAGATTGCACCTATGCGACCACCTCTCTCAGGGAACCCATCAATGCCTATGGTTTATAGAGGAGCTGAGGGTGTTGAAGCAAGAGAAGGTATCACTGGCACTCTACTGAGGTCACATTTGACTGTACAGGGTTTAGAAATGTATTTAAGACTTCTCATGATGGAAAGGGGTGACAAAGACCAAGTACTTCCCCAACTTTATTGCATCTGCAAATAGCAGACCAGCAACATTGTTTCAGGTGACACAGTCTCTCCCTTTGCAGGATTGTGCAGAAAATTTTCCTCAGCATGTTCGAAACCATTCACGATTGGATGCTAACTTTGTTATAGAACCAGGGGAGTTGTCTGGGAGAAAGTCTTGCCTGCTAATCTGGAAGTGGTTTGGATCTGTTGGGCACGATGAAGTGAACAGAATCCTTAGGGCCTGTGAGTTCAGCTACCTGATATTAGATCCATGCCCCCTCTATGTTCATTTGACACTTGCCCATGTATGTAGATAGTAATATAGATTATACTTAATATGTTGAACAAGTCACTGCTATCAATGTTTCTAGATTTCACTGATGGCGTTCCACTTGACTAGAAAAGGCTAACATAAATCAATGAATATTGTCAGACCAAAAAAATGGGGGGGGCGGACTCAAAAGAAATCTAAATCTAAGAGATGACTTCTGAAGTAACTTAAAAGGTCAACCCAAAAAGTAATGCACCATGATGTGAACTGCAATTTACATAATCGCAAAGTTCAGCTTGTTGCTCCTATGACTCTACACTTGGTTGCCTTGCCTCCCACCTTCCCTTCCCCTCTTCCCTCTTTCTCAAAGCTCTGAAACTCTTTGTGTTAGAATAATGACAGTGTCTGTGAAACGTCACAGACCAGGGGAGCTGTAAAGTAAGGTTTTTAGTCATCACAGTGCCTTGCAAAATATTTGTCCTGACACTATATTGTAGAAGAATTAGAATAACATATAAAACAAGGAGAAGGAACCAAACATACTTTTTTTCTATAATTATAATTATTTTCTATAATTAACCAATGAAAACATTGCCAAAAGATTTTCTTGTTATTAACACAACTAGTATGAGTAAAAGAAAATTTTTATTCATATCTGTATGGACAAATTTTTAAGCTTTTCTAAGTACAGAAGTAGTATCCAAGCAATAATGCAGAAAATATATACAATATGAAAGGAGTGGAAGAGGAAGGCTCAGAATAGTTTATAGCTCTGACATGCTCAAATTACTGGATGGGATTAGTGATCAGTTTAGAAAGATTAGTGAAATAAACCGGGAACATCAAAAGTTCATGTGGGTTTACTTTCAGCTTGTATAACTGTCACAATTATGAATGCATGTGGAGTTACTGATGCAAAATTAGAAAAGTGTAATCAATTCATTAACCTCACAAATTCAGCCTCTGAAATGCCAAAGCATGAAGTTTATAAATGAACATCCTAGAGTTTACCAAGATAAATATTCTAGATGATTTGATGCAAATTTTTAACTAGAGCTATTTGAACACTGTTCTAAATAAGCAGATAAGTAAATAATCAAGCAATCAAGCAAATAGCTACATAAAAATAAAATTATATAATAAAGTAATCTATATTGTCATAGAAAAAAACAGAATTTTACATGCTGGTTATTTATTATAGCCTTAAATTTTATTATAAAGTCCATTAAGCCCTTTGTCAATGTCTGCTAGGGCTTCCTATTCTCTTAATTATAGTTTGGTATAAGTAATGCATGCATTTTGCAAAAATTATGTTTTCTTCTAAAGGTAATTGAGAAAGCTTCTAACACTCGTATGGATTAAAATGCTTGGCAAAGTTCCATATTTATACCTTTTGAAGTGTTTAAATAATTTTAATACATATTTATAACCATAAATAGTTTTAAAACATCCATAATCATTAAGACATATCTTTTTAAATAATTGCTTTTATTTTTAATTAATATTATCTGCTCCTTTTCTGCAGTTCTATTTATCATGGCATTTATACAGATTTGAATATATTCTATTACCAATAAATACAGGATTTAGTGCTTGAAAGAATTTGCATTTCCCAAATTGCAGAGCAAATAATTTGATCAAATGAAACAGTAGGAACCCTCCCTTAATGGCAAATGTTTTGCCAAATTTGGCCGTAGATAAAAGTCCTGAAAAATCTGCAAAACGTACGTGGTATGGAATGATTCACAGTTAGAAAGGGTTTGTTTGGGGCTTATATCTAAAGCATATTTACTAGACAATCATATCAGCAAGGCTATCCAAATAATACTGTTATCAATACATTGTATTATAGCAGTGGCCCACAATCTGAGGTCCTTGGGTTGTGTGCTTCCTCCAGTCAAAATATATTCCTCCAGTTTGAATATAGGAAACCAATGACCTCCTTGTGAAGTTTCATGGGACAGAAGGGAAGAAGGCTTGAATACATGACTAGGTAGTAATCATATTACTCTATTAAATGGAAATTATATCAACAAAATGAAAATTGGTTAAGATTGTCCTACCTTCTCCCCACTATAGGGTATATAGAGCCTCCAACAAATTACCCAAAGGCCAATAGTGGCGTTCAGTCTAGAAATCTAATGTCTGGATAACATGAATGTGTGTATGTATGGAATGTGATTTGTAATCCTTTTACAACAGCAATAGCACTTAGACTTATATAATGCTTCATAGTGCTTTACAACTCTCTTTAAGTGTTTTACAGAGTCAGCATATTTCCCCCATCAATCTGGGTCCTCATTTTACCAGTCTCGGAAGGATGGAGGGCTGCGTCAAAATCGTACTCTTGGCAGTGAACCTTTATTAGTATTAGCCTGTAATACTGCATTCTAACCACTGTACCACTATGGCTTTCCGGTAAGTTGTTAGCTTACTGGAAGTAACAGCTGGCTTCCTTTTACAACAATAGTACAATGAACAGATAGCACAATATAAACAGCACATATAAAACTACATTTAATTTTACATACCAGACAACATAGAAAAGAGAGGGTAATTACAGTTTGTTTCCATCTTACCTTTCGGAGAGGTTTAAGTTTAGTCTCCATGATGAAGTCATACTTGCAGAGTTCACAGCACCGCGTGTCTGAGCTCTTAATCCATTGATGTAGACAAGCCTGATGAACGAAACGTAAGGTCCCTGTGCAGCGACATGGTGTGATGAGAGGGCTTTCATCATCTCCCTCACAGTGACAGATCCTGATAGAAGGACAGCAATTGAGTGAGGATATCTAAAGTTTATTTAAACCCACTTCAATGGTGGCAGCTGACATTTAAAACATTCACCCCTTTGAGATTAGAACCAAGAAATTTATTGCTTTTCCGTTTTGTAGCTTTCTATTTCAGGAATCAGCTTTCCATTTTTAGTAGTTCTGAAAGGTGGAGCAACATTTGGCTGCTTTTCTATATTTCAAACTATTCGGTGAGTAAACTGCTTCATACTGAGCATATTAACAATATGTTGCATCTACAAATGGGCATGGCTGATCAAAACTTTTCTTCTTAATTTTAAATCTGCATACTGATTTTAGTAGAAAATAATTAGAAGTAATTCAAACAACTTTATATACTCTCAGGAGTGTTCTGCTTTGAAAAAGTCCCCTGCCTTCCGCTTTTCCTAGAAATCATAATTCAATTTTGATCTATTGGTTAAGGCACCAGATAGAAAATGGAAACTGTGAATTCAAATTCCCGCCTTATCCAACTGGTGACTTTGGACCAGTCATTATGTCTCAGCCTTATAAGTTCACAAGATTGTTGTAGGAAAAAACAGGAGGAGGACGGTGTGCTGGATATGTTCACTGCATTGAGTGATTTGTAAAAATAATAATGGCAAGGTACAAATAAAATAAATAAATATTTTTTTCTAGTTGAAATATGTTTTTCTTATTTTAATTCTTTTGCAAAGCAGAATAGAAAGAAGGAATGACTAAGGGGAGAGAGAGCTGTGAGTATGGTAGAGGTAATAAACTAAGATAAGTTTATATCTCTGGCTAAAACTAACAGAAAGCTATATACAATGTGGAAAGAATATACAGGTAGCCCTTGCTATTCAAAGTTACAGCAGCACTGAAAAAGTAACTTTACAAGTGGTGTTCACATTTTGACTGTTGCCGGACTCCATGATCCGTAGTGATTGAGATTCAGGTACATTGCAACTAGCAGGTGTTTGTGACCATCACAGCATGCTACAGTCATAATGATCACAATTTGTGTGCTTCACATCTGACCTCCAACGCGCAGAGTTAATGAAGAAGTTGGCAGTAAAGTCACAGGTTGAAGTGACATGATGTCTTGCTTTATGACCACGCGTGGTTTGCTTAATCATTGTAGTAGAAGTGAGATCATAAATCTGTTGCAGACTTGAGATGTATCACACAATGACTGTATCACTTAGAGTTATGGAGTTGCCAGTCCCAATTTTTAAACGAGAACTACCTGCAGTGGTATCAATACTATACCACAAAAGAAATGGAAAACAAATCGCTTCTAGTGGCCAGGAAAGCAGTATTTTTCCCCACGTGGGATGCTATATACAGTTTTCAAACCTAATGCCATGTGATACTCCAGTTTTATTATTATCTGCTTGTTATTAAGACTTTTTCCATCATGTAATTAACAGTAAAATTCAGAATCCATTGAGATAATAACCATTTAGAATGGATATGACAAGCATTGTAAAGAAATTCTAAAAACAATTCATAGTATATGAAAATATAGAGAATTAGGTGTTCTTGAATAAGAAAATGGATGGTATATTGGAATTATGATGATAATGTGAAACATCAAAAAATGATTTTGAAACAAAAAAGGTGTCCTATTCTATGAGGGATTCAAAAAAGGAAACAATTATGTTAATTACAAATATCAGTCAAATATTAAGAATAACTTCCTATCTTATGTGCAAGTTATCTGTAGAAGAAAACTACAGTTATCTTCTATATTTTTTCAATTTTTAAAAATCTCTAGGCACATATTTGTTATAGTTACTAAATAGAGAAATCACTGAGTTTTCACTAGAACAATTATCTAAAGCTGATAAACGTATAATTCCCCCAAGTCTGATCTTTTATGTTTATAATTCTTTGTGGAAGCAAAAATTCAGTTTATCTATCAAATTGAGATGGCAAATCCCAATTTTAATCTGTCAAGGTTTAGAGGGTATAATTTGAATTGAAACTGAAACTTAAAGGCAATAAGATTTCATTGAATGCATGATTCAGCCAGAGAATTTAATTCAAAATATTTTCACCCACTTCGTTATTTGGGAAGAAAATAATATGGTATAAATCAGGGGTGTCAAACAGTGGTGGGATTCAAAAATTTTTTACTACCGGTTCTGTGAGCGTGGCTTGGTGGGTGTGGCAGGGGAAGGATACTGCAAAATCTCCAGTCAGAGGTGATATTTGCTGGTTCTCCGAACTACTCAAAATTTCCACTACCTGTTCTCCAGAACTGGTCCGAACCAGCTGAAGACCACCTCTGGTGTTAAACTCTATTTCATTGAGGGCCACATCAGGATTGTGTTTGAACTTGGGGGACTGGGTAGGCATGACCGGTGTGGGGGTTACCAGGGTGTACAAGTGATGTGTCAGGGTGGCCTGGACAGGGTGGGGGGGGATCCACTGTTTCCAGTGGAGGAAGGCAAGATCAGGGAGAGCGCCAAACCCTTGTCCTTCAGAGGAGCCTCGCCCGTCCCTCTCAGGCGCTCCTGCAACCCTCTGCGTTTGGCCTGTGATGGCTCCTTGCAACTCTCTGCCAGTGAAAATGGAGCTCCTGCAACCAAGCTCCATTTTCACTGGTAGAGGCACTGTGGGCCAGTCCTTTGCTGTTTCCAGGGCAACCCCACGGGCCTGATCCAGCCCGCGGGTCTTGACTTTGACCCCCCTAGTATAGGTGATAAGTCCTCAAATTGAGTTCAGCTGCTGGTGACTAAATTCATGCAGGGTTATTGGCAACATCACAAATATGATTTGTTATTAGCTTCTTGGAATGATTTTTTTTTTACTCATCAGTAATATGATCATAATAAAAATAGTAAAATCATTTTTCTTTTTTGATGTAGGTTTTTCTCCTTTCTATTCTCTTTTCTTTCTTTCATTTTACTTTGTATTTGATTTTATTATGATCAAAATTCTTAATAACATGATATATACAAAAAAGAAACTCTGACTAAAGATTGAAGAGACCTGCCCTTTGAAGGTATCATTTACTAGAGGCTGAGGATGTTCTTTTCTCATTTGTTTTGACAAGGTTCACTGGTAAGTTCAGCCTATTCTGTGAATGACGCATTATGTGCTGCTTAGGCATCGTTTTTAAATGTTATCACTGTAGCATATGAAATATATTATTTTTCTAAAAAGAGTATATAATATATTCCACAGATTAGTAGGAAGCACATTTTCTCAGATCCATCACTGAATGGATGAAGACTCATTCATTCTGAGACAAGACAATCAAATAAACAAATCAACATTTTGAATATTATTTTGGAGAAGAATCCTACACGTGTCGGTATGGTGCAGGTACAGAAATGCATCTATTGTTTCCGATTTTCCACCATTAATTTATTATATATACTGGTTCATTCCTAACACAACTAACCTGGCCTTTGTAGACTAATTTTCTGATCCATATTCCTCATTGCATCATGATCCATCTAATGTTCACTGCAAATCATTCACTAATCTCAGTCACCAACATGACCTTACCTTATACAAAAGTACACTTAGGGTGTCTAATGCCATACCCCTAAAATCAATATAAATATTCCTTGGATATCTATTGTAGGCATCCTTGTCTTATAATAGATCCAGTGCTAAACTATTATTTAAGCATTATCTTTATTTCTACACACATACTTTAATTCCATCATATACTATTCTTAACACATGAAACAACCAACGTTCAGCTCCATATTCAAATATTCCATAATTGTTCAAATTCAATCAAGCATCTTTTCTTACACCTCCCTCTAGTTCAACTTCATACATTCTGATGCTCTGCAACAGAATTCTTTTTACTTTGATCCCAACATCCAATGTCTTGGATGATTCCAACTTCTTCAAATGAAAAAAACAAGAAAATCCAGTTGCGTCCTGAAAAAGCACTTTTGGGACAATCATGACCTGGATGACCGAGAATCTCTACAGACTTCTAGCTATAAAATTTGGGATGAACACCCTTTGAATAATGTGGGAGTAGGAATGGATTTCCAGAGGAAATAATTGCAGACTACAGGAACCAGAAGCACTACTCCGGTGACCCCGAGGACACAGATAAACCACCAAGTGCTTCAACAACCCACTAAAAGGATGTAGATTACCAAGGAATATAAATCCTTCCATTCCTTCCACTATCCTGTCGGAGCTGAAGAACTTTCTTGGATTAGAAGCAAAACGTCTTCAAAAGAAAAAACAAGAAAGGCCAATTGACTCCTGAAAAAGCACCTTTGGGATAACCATGACCTGGCTGACTGAGAATCTCTACAGACCTTTGGTTCCAACAGTTTCGCCATCCTCTTTTCTTAGGTCCACTTTGCATCTAATACTTTTTCATAGGTGATAGTTTCTGTTCCTGTCCTGTTTCTACTTCCACACCCAATTCTTTTACTTCTTTCCTTTTTTTCTAAGCCTTTTTTTTTGTAAGAACCACTCTTAACAAGATCAAAAAAATGGTTTGCCATCCCCCATTTAGAACTGTTTATCACCTTCATACTGCTCACCAATTCTATAATTAGTGAGAAACAATTCTTTACGTGGTTGTGATTGCATGTGTGTTTTTTCTAAGCAGTCATTCATTCACCTTTTTATCTCCAACTGGTCCTGTGACTTTTTCTATGCCCTCTCTCTTGTTATTTCTACCCAGCTACTCTTGTTAGGTAGCAGATTATTTTCCTTCTTTCTCTTCCCCATTCCCATTCTCTTGTTCATAATGTCTCACAATTTGCCAAAGGATTTGTTATGATTATTTTTTTAACCTCCAAATTAGCCCAAGGCTTTTCTTGTGGTCTCTCATCATGGTACTGATAAAAGTACTGGTCCTGTTTAGCTTCATAAAATTAGCTGTGATTGGTTAGTTATGTATAAAAGAAAGCCACTCCTAATAAATTATTTTGAATATTTTGCTAACTGTATTACTTCTTTTGAAGTAATATCTCATATCAGTTAAGGCATAATTTTGAATTCAGCACCAAATAT